TCTGGAGAGCCGCCCGCCTCCGGTATCCCTCGCGGATATTATGTGTGATAGGGATGCTGGTAAGATCCGAAGTACTTCCCCCTTGATAGGCAATACCCCGGATTCGTTATTATTGCAGTTTGCATAAAAGGAGATCATGATTGGTCATTAACGACCGGATGCAGGAAAGCGAATTATAATCAAAATCCTACATTATTTGCCAAATCTGAGCTTAAACAAGAATTTTGACATTTAATTAGTTGCATACTGCAATATAAAGCCAATCAAATGTCTTAATACTAGGATTAAATAATGATCTTGGATTATTTTTTTTTGTGCAACTGGCCGTAAATGCTTTAGAATAATCAAAATCACAGATTTCGCAATGCACTCAACCATCGGAGACATTGGATATGATAACCGTATAACGCCATACGTAAAACACAAATGAGTCTTATTCAATCGGATCACTTGCTCCACTCGCTCGCAAGTTACCTCGTGTCACAAACGTTACTCTCCTGAATAGGCATGGGAATTTTTTTCGATATATCGATAGGTATCGATAGTTATCGATATATCGAATAACAATAGGTAGAGCTAAAAAAATCGATATATCGATAGATCGATAACTATCGATATATCGATACCTATCGATATGTCGATAACTATTGATATATCGATATGTCAATAACTATTGATATATCGATATGTCGATAACTATCGATATGTCGATAACTATTGATATATTGATATGTCGATAACTGTACGATAAAATTATGTTATTGTTGAGATTTCAACGAGCGCTACTATTTTTATTAATAAAATCCATTTTCGGGTTTACTCTCGTGTAAATTTACTATTTTTAGTCGCTCGACGTTTCGCAAACTTAACTTTGCTCCCTTTCTCAAGAGAAGCGCTACGTCACATCATCATCCATGCCAAATAAACGCAGTAATAAAATCTTTAGAAAATAGATCTTTTCGTCTTACTGACGATTGCTCAAGAAAAAAAGCACTTCAAAAACTTGAACAAAATGTTGCATCAAAATTGCTACTCTTTAGATAAAATAAAGAAGACAATCAAAGATTTTATTAATAAAACTCGATGAGATAACTATCCCTGTCGATAACTATCGATACATCCAATATTTCTCTCAAATGAGACGTGCAATTACCGCTTAATTACAGCGGTAATTGCATTGTAGAAAGCTAAAGAGCCCTGCGATAATTGCACAGTTAATATGGTAACTCCATTAAAGTTGCAAGAACTGCATTCGGTTATTTTCATATTTTGTTAAAAGAGCCCTCTTGTCTTGTCGGGCTCTTTCGCCAAAATATAAAAGTAAACTCATGCAGTTTTTAGATACGCTTTCAAAAAAATTATCGGTAATATTATATCGATACCTATATATTAAAAACTATCGCCATAACGAGAACTATCGATATACAAATACTTATCGATATAGCGGCAGTTATCGATCTTTTGATAGTTATCGGTGTATCGATAACCATCGATATTTCGATAATTATCGGCATATCGATAAGTAAAATATATCGATAGGAAAGTACCCGATACTTATATCGATAGGTGAAAACAGTTATCGCCCATCCCTAGCGATAACTTTCGACATATCGATATATCGATAACTATCGATATATCGATACCTATCGATAGTAATCATATATCGATAACTATCGATATATCGATATATCGATAACTATCGACATATCGATAACTATCGACATATCGATAACTATCGATAGGTATCGATATATCGATAACCATCGATATTTCGATAATTATCGCCATATCGATAAGTAAAATATATCGATAGGTAAGTACCCGATGCTTATCGATAGGTGAAAACAGTTATCGCCCATCCCTACTCCTGAATCATAATCGTCGTAACATGCTCGTAAATATCATCAAAGGAGATGTGCGAAAATTTTAGATTGGAATTAACAAAACAATTGAGCACTATTAAGTAAGTACCGTATCGACAGTATCGGAGACGATTCTTTCACCTCGCCACCACGGCCGGGTACGGGACAATCGTCACTTGACGCCCCACCGTTGTCTTTTCTGCTTGAATGAAAAACCCGTAACTGCATACCCATACGATATACCTACGAAACCATAAACATTTCCAATGTTAAGTCCATTGATTTTTTAGCATTGGAAATGCTTATGTTTTGTATGGGTATGAAGTTACTGGTTAGTCGAACAGAAAAGAAGACAATTGCTGTCGCATCAAGTGATGATTGTCCCGTACTCGACTGCAATCGGTAGATTCAGAAAAAGTCGAGGATACTGTCGATACGATACTTACTTAATAGTGCGCAAGGGTTTTGTTAATTAGAATCTAAATTTATCGCACATCGCCCGTGATGGTATTACCTTAGTGTAAAGAATAGATACATGCATGTTACGATGATTATTACTTAGAAAGTTTACGTTTGCGACACGAGCGAGCTTGTGAGTATGAATAAGGGATATTTGTGTTTTACATATGGCGTTGTGCGGTTATTTCCAATGCCTCCGATGGTTGCAAGGATTGCGAAATCTGTGAATTTTTTCGAGCATAAAACGCTTTCTCAAGAATTTTTGAGAAAGCGTATTGCAAAGATATAGGTCAGTTAGTGCCTAATTCGTTTGAGGCGCCTTTTTTTTGGAACCACACAATTGCAGTGTTTAGCACCTTTGGAAACATTCTCCATTTTCTAATTACACTTATTTCCCAATTTTCGACCGACGTTTCTTCTGTTTAATTTGATATTAAACATTCAGTCTTCTATTCGCCTTCATCATCTCTTCCTCTACAATCTCTTTCTTCCCAGTTATTTAACCTCTCGTCCTCTTTCTCTAGTCCTTTTTGTTTTTCTTCTTCATCAACTAGAGGTTTTTGTTCTTTCGCTGTTCTCCCTAACAGTTCCTGAAAGTACTGCCTCCACCTACTCAAAATACTGCCCGGTTCAGTTAATGTCTGTCCTTGTTTGTCTTTTATGGTTCTGCGTTGAAATGTTTTCCCTTCTCTCAGCGATTTCAGTATCGCAAAGAACAGTTTTTGGTGTCCCTTGCTGTCGTTTTTGATTTCCCTACCAAATTCATGCTACTATGCATACTTGACTTCTCTAACTATGTTCCTTTGTTGTACATTTTATATGTGTCTTCTGATTTACTGTTCAGATATTGTTTCCACCTCTGTTTCTTTATATTTACTTGCTCCTTTATATTATAATTCCACCATGTTGTTCATTTGAGGTGATCACGTGTCCATTCTAACTTTGATTCTTATCTAAAAGTCATCTGTCCTATATAATAAATTACTGGTACATTCTCCTATCCAAAATATTCACACGCCTATGAATGCTAAACAAAATCGCTTTCCGCAATACGTTTCTTGTCATCGCTGTTTATCGCCAGACATACTTTCTTTCATGTTCGCTATGAAGCGGTACATGCGAGAATTTTTCTTCGCCTACATTCAGTTTTCCTTGATACTTTGATTTTCTTTAAATTAATGCAGGCCCGCATCACGCCGATACCAACAGCTTTCTTTCTTTAGATTACCATTTAGCATTAAGGTACATGCGTGAAACGGATAATTTTTAAGAGTCTAGGATCAATGCAAATTCTTTTCGTCATGAGTGCACATAACTGAATTCGTCGGTCCGGATCATGTTTGCCTAACTCTTAAAGTATCTGGTTTTGTATGGGTGAAACTTGAATACCTTCTTTACCTATCCAGCCAAGTGAAGTCCTGTTACAACCACCTTAACCTCTCCGACAACACCAACAAAACAATCGGGCCAAGACTGTAGGAGATATGAGAAAAGTGAAAAATCACCACGTAAGCGTGGCACGCTCGGGGATGGCGCCCACATGTCACCGACTCGACATCATGTAACCCCGTCCCTAAAGTTGTTAAACTACACGGCCCCGATAGGTACATGTACACTCCTCGACTTTCTACAAGCGTTCTTCTACGGGCCCGCATTTGCTTCCAGCCAGCCAGTCGGCCAAAATGGGAACTATCTTTTTACAAATAAATTTACAAAAATGTGCTAAAAAACCCAAGTGAAGCCCGCTTTTTGGTTTGAGCTAGGAAGCTGTTCTGTCAAGAATATGGCACCTGGTTATTAATTAATCTGTAATGATTTCACGTACTTGGCTCAAAAAACTATTGTAAATTGAAAAATTTCTTATTTTGTAGGCTTGTGCTCATTACATTCAGAACTGGAACTACTTCCTTAAACGCGGAGCTTCAATGGTCTTCTCGGCGGTATACCCCACGGTGGACACTACGCGATCGGCAAATCAGTTACTACTGGAGGGCTATGACGATATAATCGTCGACATAGCAAAGATGTTACCATTTATCGCGTCCGAAATTCCGCGCTTCGATAAGTTCGGTTGGCTTTTCATCGTAAGGTGACTTCCGTAACCGAAACGCGATTAAAAACCTTTCAATTGCAGCTGAACGGCACGTCCGCCTTCGAAGGTGCAATCAATATGGACGATGGCGAGATGGGGAATTTCGAAATTCGCCAGTGGAACTACGAAAGCAAATTGACACAGTTTACCGGTTCGTGTGCGGAATTAGGCCGGTCATCGGCAGGCGAATTGTACCCTCATACCATCAAACGGGAGTATATTGAAGTATTTATTCCCCAGTTTTGCCGAAATTTAAGATTTGACTACGTGGGAAATGTCACGGTGGATGGTATTTCGGGTTACAAATTTGCAATCGGTGCTGGAGTTCTGGACAATGGTACATTGATACCGGAAAACAAGTGCTACTGTGCAGGCAAATGCATACCATCTGGTGTTTTTAACATTTCGTCCTGCAGATACGGTTTGCCAACCTATGGTTCCCTTCCACATTTTTATGGCGCCGATCAGTATTACTTAGAGAATGTGGAAGGGCTGCAACCTCGAGAAGATAAGCACCAATCGTACATTATTCTTGAACCCGTAAGCTTTTGCTGTTTTCTTTCACGGTTTTCAATATGGATTCGTTTCAGACCACCGGAGCACCAATTGAAGCTGCGCTACGAATCCAGCTAAACATGTACCTGCACCCCATAGATAGCATAATGTAGGTTTATCTTATACGATCACCACCAAGTAATCGTTCCACTTTCTTAGGGTATACGAGGACGTTCCCGAGCTCTACTTCCCATTACTGTGGGTCGAAACTTCGGCTTCGTTGCCACACTACATGAAGATATTGCTGAAAATATATCTAATTTCTCCTCAAATAATGCTAGGCGCATCCCTAGCACTGACACTGCTTGGATTGTATATGTTACTGTTTATTGCGTATAAACCATTCTTTGTATCATTCTACAAACATTTACATCGCAAGAAGCGAAATCAGCCGGTAAAGTCGGAAGAAGTACCCCTACGATGTGATGTAGAAATAGCATTCGCTAATTGTGCTATTGAGAACGATGAGTGTAGGTGATATAATATACTGTTATGAATGTGACGTACAGTATTAATTAGTTAACACCACGTGTTGGGCATTTAACAGACAACTTTCAGGGGAGAAACCGTTGGTTAACAAATTTACATTGCGATAATCGATGTTCTGCGTCAAGGTAGAAGACAATCCGGAGTGTAGCTAATACTTAGAATGCCATTTCAGGTAAATGTGTTGTCGATAGAACCAACCCTTGTTATTTGTAAGTGTATTTTGTTTAGCTCTCTGTAGACAAGTTTTTAAATATACGTATACTCTGTTTTTTAACTAGGAAGACGGATTTAAAAACCTGATTTACACTGGAAATGTCACTAGAATCTAGTAACAAAAATAATAGACTCATTTTGTACAGACATGTATTGTGGGTTGCGTGATGTGATTTTCTTTCACATTTGGATAGATTTCATTATTTATGCTTTTGGGTTATTATTTGGTAGGAACTCCTTTATATTATGCATACATCATACTTTTAAAAGCGAATTATAATAAATAGGTAATACACTGATAATAGGTAATCATCCTGCATACATTTTTTGGCCTTTGAAACATTATTTTGAATTGTAGTTTTAAATGTTTTTATCAGTTGTAATACTACACAATCCACATTACAATTTACAACAAATGTTAAGTTATTGAATAAATTCAGAACAATGGAATTATACTCATATTATTAAACAGCACAGTTCACTGCTTTATGTATAAGCGATTTAGTCACTTCTTCCAAAAGTTCACTAAAACTGTCACTGTCTTCCGATCCGAGTGAAATAATTAATGGTTCTATAAGTGTATCCATTAGACCATCCAATCTACACATCTTATTTTGTTCCTTAATAACGTGTTGCACACAATTCCGCCAATCGTCAGAGCTCACATTTGCAACAGCGTTATGACAACCGGGTCGTTTCGAAGGGGTAACAATCCCAGTACTTCGATATTCTTTAATTATCCGGTATACTGTAGATCGTGCAACTCCTAATATGTGTCATACTTTAATAACCAAATATATACCTACATCATTATTTACGTTACCTGTGGTAGATGCAATCTTCAACACAAGCGTAGCAAAATTCATATCCGGAGTATCGGACAACAATTGTTTATAATAAACTGCTTCTCGGAGACTGATAAAATGACCCAAGTTTAAGCGACAACCTTTTTTTCAAAGGAGACAAGCTTACTTTACTGGTACTTGGAGTTGAATCCATCACTAATACCAGTACACTTAGGACGCGAAATATTAACTTTCGTTCTTAAAAGAACTGGTTTTTTTGTTAAAATTTATGCAAATGGACTCAGAACACACAAAAACTCAAAAATAAGTACAACAGTTAAGGACGAGAATCGCGATTAAATTTGACAGTTAAAGCATGTCAATAGCAATTTTACCTGGGTGTAAAACGGGCGCAGCGCGAGCCAATAGAAACCAAGATTTTTTGCGGGAACTTTTAAATCCGTCTTCCTAGTTAAAAAACAGAGTATAGTGAAATTGTATTTTTGAAGCAAGACCTAAAAAAATTGGAAGACCTAATGACTGGACGACAAATAAGTAGTACTCATTACACCGGTGATTTCTGTTTAATATAGTCAAAGAATACTCTTTGATATAGTACACCCACAAGTACCTATGACATGGAATGACATGGGTAGATTAACTCAAAATTTTAGGAAATAATGGAAAAATAGGAATATTTTTTGCTAGCTATCTAGTTATAACAGTTAGATTCGGTAGGTACTATATATGTACCGTCTCTTGCAGCAAAGAATACATACTAATTATTAGTTACTCTTTGCTTGGAATCACAAAAATTAACAATTCTTGGCAAAATTTTATCAAGTGTATTTACTTATGTGAACCACGGAACAACTTTGTTTACCTGGTTGCATACAAATCAATTTTAGTTTCAAATTGCCGTTTCAGCGTATAATCAGATGTAGATTTACAGATTTTATAGAAATCAATTACTTTTGGAAACATTCCACGAAAAATAACGATATATAATTGGGAAAAGTCTGGGTTACCGACTCTGGAGGTCGCAAAAATTCTCTCTTGAATAATCCACATCCACAACTCAAAAATTTGGTCTAATACTTTCACTTTTAAGTTACGATTGTATTCCTTATTAAAGTGCAACTTTGAGATTTGAAATTTCATCGAAATCGATAGTTATTTCGCAGCTTAAAATACGTCCATGTGCCGACTCTGATTTACTTAGACAAAGGTTTGATATACCGGATGAATATTTCCAAACCGAAAATAGGGAATTAACATGGGAAAAGGGTTTTTTGTAGATAGTTGCTCATCATGTTAACTTAGAGGGTTTATAATGACAACAATCGAAAGGAAATTTTTTTCCACGTCTAATGATATACTAATTAGTTCATTTTCAGGTGTATTTCTCACTATTTTATCAAAAATTCGCCAATAAATCCACTTACCAAAATCATGTTAAGCCATGACTAGTACGACAAAAAGCAGATTCAAACGTCGAAATCAATATCAGTTTATGACAACTGGCATTAATTTTTTTGTAAAATGCAGTTCACTGAGGAAAAATATTTCTAATAAACAACGTTCACAGCGGAAATATTTACTCTCGTACGCGATATTTGTTTTCCGTGCATTTTAATGAGCGTCCCATTCCGTCTGTGTGAAAACCTATTTCAATTCTTTAGGAAATTTCTATGGCTTAACATAATTTTGCTAATTAGATTTATTGCCTAATTTTTTATAAAATAATCAGAAATACACCTGAAAATAAACTAATTCGTATATCATTAAATGACAATTCAACTCATGTATAAAAAATCGCATAAACCGCAGTGCAATTGTTACTTTGACGGCGGCAAAAGTTACCTGCAACTTTTCCAGCGACAAATGCACTACTATAGTAGTTTTTTCACTTATTCATTTTCTAACTAATTATCGCATTATCCGTTCCCATATGACTACTTTGACATTTGTCAATAATTAATTGGTTTGGTGAATTTCTTGTTCGTTAAATTGTCCTGCCGAATTAACTTGAGGTTTGTATTTAAACCGAGTAAATTTGTGTTGTTGCAATTCAGATCTGTTGCCTTTTAGCAATTGAACTCGAAAAACTGTCAACCTAAAAATGCTCCAACTTCGGTGTCGCATTTTTATTAGTTGACAATTTTTCTCGTCTAATTGCTAGCAACAGATTTTCATTACCTTAACAACCCAAATTTACTCGGTAAAATACAAACCTCTTGTGCAATTATGAGTGAGAAAAAAATCTTCTTTGGATTGGTGTCATTATAAACCTTCTAAGTTAACATGGGGAGCAACGATATGCAAAAAACGTGTTTCCCATGTTAATTGCCTATGTTCCGTTTTCAAATATTCACCCGGTATGTACCCAGAATCCACAGGTGAGGTTAAAATTTTAAATGCTTACTTCTGATGGTATGGTATGCCGGAAGTGGGTACGCAAAAACCGAAACTGGTTAGACGCGGGACCGGGCATTAGGCCGCCAGGCATTAGGACGCAGACATTAGGACGCGGACATTGAACCGCAAGACAGCAGACCGCAAAGGGAATAGACCGCAGACATTAGGCTGCGGACATTAGGACGCAGACATTGGGACGCGGACATTACAACGCAGATACTGGGACGCAGAAATTGGGATGCGGGCATTAGGACGCAGGTACGTAGTTTTATCCCTTGTTGCACTTAAAATAAAGCAAGGATCCATCAAATTCGCGTTTTTCTCGAAAATCTCGAAAACGCCACGATGGCAGCGCCGGGGGGCGACGCGTCTGGGTTAGGTTCACGTCCGCCCCTTAGTTTTCGCATTTCAGGAAGGGTCCACGTTAGTGTCGCGAAGGGAGGGGAAAGCGCGCGACGCACCGGCTCCGGCCTCGGGAGGGACCGGTCTTTCGTCCGAGACCGCTTCGGCGGTATCCGGACCCCCCGTAGGCTGTCGAAGTTTTTCGCTTTTTTTTTACTCGTGCGTGCACTTTCGGGCAAACGAAACGCAGGATTCTTTTAAAAGTCGCGTCCTCTCGCCTCCTCAAGGTTACGGGAATACGCTATTCACTTTCAGGGGATCAAAAGTGCCCGTTTCTCCTATACGTCAGTTGGCGTTCGATTTTGCCGTTCGATTCTCGGGAATATTTTTTTAAAGACAATATTACGAAAAATTATTTATCGATCGCCAGAGAGGTTTCCCGTAATTGTAATGCATGATACGCGTCGCGCGGCGCCGGACTATCCGTATTATGTCTTCGTGATTCGAAATGCTCTTGGACGCTCCCGGCGATTCGGACGGGACGGTACGGTCCCGTATAAAGTGCAATACACAAGTTTCAGCCTGATACTAATCATATACAATAAAGAGGCAGTTTACAGTTACCTGCGCCTTTTTGAATGAAATTTTCAGTAAATAAGTAAAGAAAAACAGTTTTTATTTTTACACGGATTATTTGTATTTTCATTATACCTTTTATTGTCCTACCTGCAACCTAATGTCTGCTTTGTAAGGTAACCTGCATGATTTTTGCGTTCTAATGTCAGCAACCCAATATCCGCGTCCCTGGTCCCAATGTCTGCGTCCTAATGTCTGCGCCCTTATGTCCGCGTCCGAATGTCTGCGTCCTAATGTCCGCGTCCGAATGTCTGCGTCCTAATGTCCGCGTCCTTATGTCCGCGTCCCAATGTCTGCGCCCTTATGTCCGCGGCGTAATGTCTGCGGTCTTCAAAGTTCAAAGGTCATCCCAATTATCTGATTCCGAATTTTCAGCAGACATGTCTCCGTCTGAGATCGAGCTGGCGGCTTTATAACGTGTAGGAGTGGAGGATTTGAAAAATATGGCTTAGGCGCTATCATTATTTGAGTTTGGAGTATTCTGCAGCCGCTTGCCTATTTTTTTCTCTTCATTTGGAAATCGAGCCTGTTTTAATAAATCTGCAAATGAATTGTTTAAAGCTACTTGAATTGCAAGCGGTTTTTATTAAGGCATTCTTCTCTGTTTAAGTAATGTATTCCCATGACAGCCGTGAATCCTACCGCCAATTTTCAGGTTTGACTTTTTCCATAGTGAGCCACAAATTTGACCCAACCTGTACACAAACTATGGTGGTAATACATTCCCTGGCACTGATGTCTTGGACGTATCTATGTACCCTTCACCGTGGGGAGGACGCCGTTTAACGATGACCTCTGATGCTCAATTTTCGAGGACAATCTCAAGCTCAGTGAAATAATGATCAATATTACCCTGGAAACTTGTGCTCTGGCACGATTT